CACCAGATTATCCCAAACATAGCGGAATGGGTCAACCACCAACTCGAAAATCTTAGTTACTATCTTACACAGATACTCACCGGACAGAGATGTTGCCGGCAATATTTACACAAGTATAAGCTCGAGGACTCGCCAGAGTGTCCAACATGTCTGGGAATAGAGGAGGACGGAAGGCATGTATTCTTTATATGCCCTAGATTTAACCTACAACGACGAAAGCTCCAAAACGTGACTGGAATGACGGTCATGCTAGAACATTTGTTCTACAGATGTTATCATCTGAGAGGATACGGAACACCACAACGGGCTTCACCAGGGAAGTCATCGGAGAGCTACGAAAAGAAGAAAAAAAAAGAAAAGAAGAGGAGAGAACAGCACGTAAGAGATACAGGGCGCCTAATTATGGTATAGCAAGCTCCCTACATTGATGCAGAGGAACGTGGGTGGTTGGGTAGAGCTCAATTTCCCTCATCCGATGCGGAGAAATGTAGACTCTGGGATTGAGACTAGCCATAGGATAGCAAGGTGTTCTCATACATGCGTACGCTCCCCAAAAGAATTAGTTGTGATGATTGTAAAAATAAAGAAGAAGACGACCGGATGATGCGGTAAGAAGAAGACGAGTCTGATCCAGAACCCCTAATCACCTTACGGTGGACGGGAGATGTACGGAAATGTTAGACACTCGAAGGCAGCCAACCGGCTGATTAACAACCCACAATGAAGTAATGTCTAGCCACAGTTCCGGTGGGGGTTGGTGACGTAGGACCACTTGTGCAAAGTTTGCTCTGCCTACGTCCTTTCAAAAAAACAAACACACACACACACACGCATATACCCACACAGAACATAATAACATGCATCTAAATCACATGAAGCATTCGCTGACCACTACAATATTTAGTAATATTGTAGCTCATCCACAGAGTACTCCTCATTATAACCAGTAGATTAAAATATTTTATACATAACAACATGATTATGAAAATATATGTTTGATAAGCAAACATAATACAGGCTGTAGGACCAAAACTGAAGCAGTATGATATAATTTCATTAATACATAATCATACAATTAAAACATACAATTAAATAAGTCCTTAGTTAGTGTATCAATACTGCAATAATTTTCGTTCATATAATTTATTTATTCAGATTCAAATACTACGTTGTAAATAAGAAAATACAAAATCAACTTTTTTTGTAAACTAAACTGAACCTGTTTTTGCAGTTCGAAATTTTAATGACAAGACCGTTCATGATAAGTATTAAATAGGCTTTACTTTATTTAAGTTTCATTTTTATATTTTACCTGCGAACGGGTATTATATTTTAATATTGTAATATTTATAAATAGTGTTGTTAATAATATTTGTTGTTATTCTCATTTTTATTTATAATTGATTTATAATTCAATTTTATCTACATAATATATATACTTAATTCATACATTTATTAAAATAATTATATTATATTTTGTACAATTACATTTGTAAACAAATCTATTTATTTCCAATTTTTTGTTCAAAATACTCATGTTTACGACAACCTTAAACAGTACATGTCTAGCTTTTTGTTCTATGCTTTGAATTCGGTTCAACTAACTACAATTTTGCCAGACTTGCAACACCTTTGATGTTGTTATTTCTCTTGGTACAATGCTATTATTGCCATCTTACTTATTTTGGTATAATTTTTCTGATGACCACTCTAGCTCTTACCAGATCGGAATTGTTGATGGCAGTTTATCAGTTCTATCACACATTTAGTGGGTAAGAATCATGTTTTCCTTGTTAGGAGTCTCTTATTCATATAACACGATAAAAAAGAACATGGGCATCAAGCGATTCCTGCAATAAGCCTAACATGAACCCATCAATATAGTGCCAACATGAAGACTAGATGTTTCTAGATTTTTTATTACATCAGCAAAAATGTTACTTATGTTGAATTTTTCTTCAAATTTCCTATTTTATTATTGTATTTTCCTAGTAGTTTTTTTTAGCAAACTGTTTTTATCTTGCCATTATCTAATAAATTATTGCAGTAATATTTTTGTAACTTTTAGTAATGTATCATTATTCTCATTTTAGTTTCTCCTATTATAGTTTTTTGAATTACTATTCACAATAACGTGGCAGAATTTTCGATATATCGGTTTTTGACTCCTTTTCTTTTTCTACAAAACACAAAATTAAACAATGAATTAACTAGTGTGGCAGGGAATTTCGGAGGTTTTGACCGCGCTCCGAGTTTCTTCCGCCACAAGGCCTGTTTGGCTCTACTCCGATTATTTAGGGCGCCAGACCGTCGGCTGATTACGGCGATCGTCGGGGGTAAGGCCAGTAGGGTTATCGCGTATCCCGGTTTGCTTAACGGCGACTGCACAGAGCGGGCAAACGAGGGATACGCGTTGTATCCTCACTTCAGGCCTTGGTGTCCAACTCTCCTCTCTATTTTTCCTCCTTAATTATGGTATGCCGGCAGCTCAGGTGATGGCTCCTTAAGTCAGGTCGTGAGGACGTTCGAATTCGCGCGTATGTTACCTATCGAGTGACCCGAAAATATAGCGAATTAGTGATACCCGTATGTAACCGCTCGCGGCTGAAAATCACTAGCATGCAATAGAGGTAGGATATCAAAGTAAATTTATTATATAAAGATAATTAATCACTTTATTGATGCATTAATAATTCTCACATACGAGGTTGGAGTGAATATGGTCGGTAAAATTCTGAATATTCATAATTTCGTAAGGATACAAATTAATCGGAACGTTAATAATTTTCCGGTCGGTCTTCGATTAACAAAGAGAGAGGGTCGGCGCAAATAACTCAGTCGCGAATTTCCTTTGTCTGTTCTTACCGCTCACGCTCGGTTCATGAAATGGCGGAAAGGTCAGCGCGATTAAATAGGCAGGGTGAGTTTATTTGGCTAATTCTACGTTCGCGGCAATTTGTCAGCGAAAAGTCAGCGCGAATATCCTAGATCTCAATTTTCATTGGTTAATCCTAACGCTCACATTCGGTTTGCGAAATGGCAGGACAAATTTTATTCGGTTAAACCTACGTTCATAATAAATAGTTAACGACAGGTCAGCGCGAATCCTAAATCGCAATTTTTATTCGTAACATCTAACACTCACTTTAAAATATACGGAATGGCGGACAGGTCAGCGCGATTCGATAGGCACCGGCGTCGACGGATCCACGCGTCGCGACGACCTACGGCACTGAGCGATTTATTCCCGCACTCCGCGATTAAATAAAAGTGAATAGCACTTTGCCTACTTACAATTTTTTCTTGCGGTATTAGCAAACAAAATTGGCAAAAAGAATCTGGAAGGCGTCTAGCGCTAATAATTCTGCAGCAAAATTATCTGACAGAGGCTCCTTCTATTGAGAGATCCAGTGGCAAAATGGACGAGAATCGGCTTCTCGCGGTCAAAGATCGCTTTTCTTCTCCTCTTTCCGAGAAGAAATGTTATTATTGGTCGGTATGCTAATTCGAATATCGGTAGCGCCCTCCGAATATTTTATTATTGGTCCATATGTAAATTAGAAGGATACAGCGCCCTCCTTAGTTCTCCTACTTTCGTCGTTATTTACCCTCTCTCACCCCCCCACTAAGGTAGCTATCGTTAGTTGTTGGAAAAGATCTACCCCTACTCTTATCTATTTGTCTATCCGGACGGAAATCAAATTTTATTCTAATTTGCTCATTGGTCGTGACGTCACTAGCGAATTTTGTCAGAGGTTCGAATTCGGTCAGTTAAATTATTATTTAAACCTAAAGGGGGTAGTTGTCGCTCGCTATCATAATAGGGGTGTCAGTCGCGTGCGAATTTTACAATTCGGTATTTATTCCACGCTCATTATTTTCCAATTATAATTTTAATTTTATTGTCATAGATACGTATATAATATACGCCGTTTCATTTGTAGCGCCCTCATCTTCGCATTTGCCTATTATTCTATTTATCATTTTGTATCGTCTGTCTCGCTCGCTCTGTCTCGCTCGCTCTGTCTCAGTCTGTCTCGGCGCTTCATGATGGCCGCTCGGTTTCTAGCGCGTACGCCTCGTGTCCTTGTGTCGATTGCTGGAGCGCCTCCTGGGGCGCTCCCGTGTCGGTTCAGTGATGTTCTTCCGGGTGTTTGTGTGTGTGGTTGCTGTATTTCTTGTGTGTGGCACTCAGAATGTCGCCGATGGTGTTCGGCAGCCCGACACAGCTGATTGCCGGCTGCCACTTCATCGGCGATTTTCTGCTCGCCCCAGGAGTATCAGTGCCTCGTGAGTGTTAGTGTGGGTGTCTGGGAGTGTAACGGATCTGCATGTGTCATCAACATGCATTTCCGTTGCATTTCCCAGTCAAGTTTTGCATTTTTCTTTCGCCGGTCGGCAACACGTGGTCGGGAGTGTATGTGAGTGAGTGTGTGCGTGCGCTCTCTTTTTCTGTGGTGCGCTCCTTTTTTTTCTGTCTGCTCTTTGAGCGTCCGTCGGATCGCGTTTGACAAGTTTGTTTCATCCATATCTCCGGCATGGTTGTTCGGACATAAAAAAGAGTAATTGTTCTGTATAGGACGCGTTTATTTTTATTTAATTCAACCGGTTACGGAGCGGCAAGGGACGGGGATGGCCTTACTGAAGTGTTGCAAATAATGCAGCACTCAGGAAAGGCCTTGTAATGTACCGCATTACACTAGTGTTTCACTAATTGATTTTGTGTTTTCGAATTTTTTGAAATCATAGTCATCATACATATTTTCACAAATAAAGCATACTTTTCATTTCATTGTCACTAAAGGATCATATTTGCACTTTTTACGTCTTGACCGCTCGACATTTCAGTAAATAAACAAAAATACTATAATTATGTAAGGAATCAATTATTGTCTTAATTTCATTGTTTTACAATTATATACATCTAATATCAGATTATAGTTTATTCTCTATTACATTCATGACCGTGAAATGCTAATTAGAAATTTTCTTTTATGTAGATCGTTACCAAAGTTATTAAACCAAGATGATGATGGAGCAAATTCTCATACTCAGTATACAGCTGCAACTCATTTTGAACCAATACCACACGATCATGATTTTTGTGAACGAGTTGTAATTAATGTAAGTGGAAATCTGTTTTACGAATAAACGTTATTAATTTTCTTATGATATTTGATACGATAATTTTAATGAGAATATATGCGAATTGAATGTAAACTAGAAAATATCGTTTATAATGCATATGAATATCTACCTATATATCTTTTTATACACACACTTACATACATACACATGCATATATATATATATATAATTATCGTCTTAAGAAAACAGTTGGGGCATCCTGTTTCTAACTACCTCTACCCCGTAAACTTTAATACTGCTCTTCTGATGTGTTTTCTCTATAAAGTGGTAATTACAAAAGATAGCATACAGTTTATATAACGAAGGACTATCATTACTCTATTTATGAATTATTTAAGATAATATTACAGTAGTATAATGGTTTGTAATTGTTATTTGATAATATATTATTCCCTTTAAAATAAATATTTCGTTCTCTAACAGTAAATTTTCTTGGTTTATCAAAATTTTATCATGTTCAGTACTTCCCAAATTTTTAAAGTAAAGTATATATATATATATATATATATATATATATATATATATATATATATATATATATATATATATGTATAATTTATTTAAAAAAGTGTCTGTGTGTGTATACGTGCGCACGTGCACGTGTGTATGTGTTTCACATATTTGGGTGTGAAAATTCATTAAAACGCGTAAAAGCATCGACTGTTTCCGACGTTCTTTTGGTCCAAGAGATTTAAATTCTGTATGCATTTTGTCAGTATGTGTTTGACAAGTTTCAATTGGACTCCGAAAAAAGCCATAATATAGCGGAAAACTATGAGAACCGGGTTCAGGGATAATGAGGATCTTTTCAAAAAGGACAAGCAGCGCCACTTCATAGATTCTCTGTACTACAGTTAGTGTATGCGTTGTTTATACTTTTCCGTTTTGAGGGTGGCACAGCGTAACCAAACATTACCACCCCTCTCTCTGGGCGCCACTAGGTTGGCGTAGCCCAGTGTCTTTCACTCCTTCGCTTTCAAGTACTTTGGAGATCCGGAAGTCAAGTTTGCTACGACATCCCTGATGCTCACAGTGAATCGGAGCCTTGTTAATCTAAGGCGGCAACCTCTTCGAAAGGAGTACCGATCATTTTAAAGTTCGACGCTCAGGGAGAGTGGAACTAAAGGTTTGACCCTCGGTTTGGGCGCGACGGGACTCTAGTTGCCCCAACATCTACCGCGTCGGAAGCACGCAGCATACAAATCTTACGAGATTTGCTTGACCCGGTACCACTACCCCGCAGAGGCTAACCGAAATTGGAATGTTAGAAGAGAGACTCAGCTAGGACAGCCAGAGGAAGTTTCTAAGACGATCAACCAGCTAAGCCTCCCCTCCTGGACTCACGTTCGAAAACATCCTACCCTGCGTACCTGTATTAAGGGATTGCTCCCACGACTCACAGGTCCATCGCTTCGACGTACCGTGGGACGTCTCCCCATTGCGTTTCGGTCTTCCCCGCTCACGCTGGTGGGTATCCGTCATTCGGATTTCGCTTTCTATGGAATGGGTTTTATGACTGGCTGATACTGATGTTTGCTCTTTCGATTTAGTATTTTTGACTTATAGGTCAGGACGGGGTCTCGTCTAGCCGACAAGGCGATTCCCCAGGCAGTTTTCAATATTCATGCCAGTCATGCCATACATTCGAATCAAGCTCCGATATTAGGCTTAATCGGGTATTCTAACTCGCGTTTAAATGGTCGAACTTCGGAGTTTAATTCTGAAGTTCGATGCTAAAAAATTGTCGTTCAAAGTTCAAACTTTGTTAACTTGCCAAAGTTCAAAAATTAGATTAGTTATTGTGCGAGTTTTGTCCTTTGGTTAGGAACCTTGTAAGAGGCGGCGTTTTTCTACCGTAGTTTGTAACTACTTTTCTGCATTTTCTCTTTGTTAAAGGTGCTCCTTCCCTGGGCTCTATAACTTTTCTATCAAAGTCTTCAAAGACTTTGTAGATCTTCCTGCTAGATACTAGGGCCATTTCCGGGCAAGGCCATATGTGGCCGTCCTCTTTAATGGCCTCTATTAATGGCTTTCTTAGTTCCCTTAATTCTTCGCAGTTAAAGAGAATATGACTTTCGCTTTCTATTTCTCTACAACTACACAGTTGGTCTTCGCATAATCCTCTTTTATGGAGGTATGACTTAAAAGCACCATGTCCAGTTATGAACTGTACTGTGTAGTGATTGGGGTTTAGCCACCTCTTCTTCAATCTGTCCTTGATTACTGGGAAATAGCAGTACGTTCTCCTGCCATTTGTGGCTGACTGCCATCTCTCCTGCCATACCCTTTCCATTTCATCGTTGATGAGTTGTAAGGCTTTCGAGATTTTTAGTCTGCCCGATCGAAGTTCCTCCGATTTTATTCGGATGCCGTGCAGTGTTATCGATTTCCCTTTCCTGACGCAGTACTTTGCAACTCTCCCGTCGAGTTCGAGAGCTATTGATCGGGCGGCTGCAAGCACGTGCGCTACTTCATGAGAGATCGATTTGTAGGATTTGAGTGTTTTGCAAAGAACTGATTGTTGCAATCTTTCTAAAGCATATTGTGGTTTGTCCTTTGCCACCGGCCCGCAGCGGCATATATAACTTTCGATAGTAGGAAGCCATTATATATCTTTTTCAAAGAATTAAACTGTAGGTCCTAGTTCGCTTTTGCTATTTTACTGTAATACAACTACAATACTACTGCTTAAATTACTGCTTAAATTACTATTAACTGCTTAAAACTAATTTGATTATAATATAACTTAAAACTACTTACGAATGTACCGGCGTGTTTGTTATCACGCTAGATTTGATATTAATCAAACCTGGTCTTGGTCAGGGTTAGGTGTTTTGACGAGTTGCAACTAAAGTAGCACTTGAGTGAGCATTTCGGGGTTTCGCCTTTTCTGTCGTCTTGGCCTGTGTTCGCTTTTAGCAGCACTGGATTTGATTGGTATTTAGTGCATGGTTTTCGCTTTCAAAGAGAGCTGACAGTTACTAATTTTGCTTTCAATTGTAAAATTGCTTTAGCTATTAGGGCCTAAACAGTTCCTTAGCAGGAAGGATGCTGCCTTTCTGTGGAAATATTTTTCCTGAGGGTTTCGACATCCGTAGTGCGTTCTAATCATCGAGAGTTGTTCGGCCCAATGGACTATTCTCTCGCACAATGGTGTCGTGCTTTACTCCAGGAGCTCGAGGCAAAGAACTTTGGGTGGCTGCTATGATCACGGCCGCGACTCTTTACCCACAGTAGTGGCACCTACCCATTGCCAGTCAATAGGGAGTAATTTGCTATCTACCCGAATTAAATTCGGATTGCCGGGACCATTGGTCCTCTGCAACTAGATCCCGGAGCGGACTCTCGTCCTCTGAGAGGGTGCACGGTACCACAATCCCGAGAGATTTCCCCTCAAGTAACTCCCGGATTTTGGCTTTTCTGGGCTCGAGTTGAACTCTTGGGGTGTGGTAGACTCCGCGTTCAATGTTTGGGCGTTTACAGGCCGCCCCTCACCACGTGTTGTCATGGTCCGAGTTGTTTATTTTGTTTGGCCGGTTGGCCTTTTGCCCTAGGGGCAAGCGTTGTGTGTTTTGCCTACTGTTTCTTTATAGAGACAGCGTTTTCAGCCCCACCACGTGTAGGTACACACATCTGCACTTGTGATTGCAAGTCTTCGTTCAAATACACATTGCATTCACTTCGGGTCGACTAGCATTAGCTGCTTATCGAGGGCAATCGGTGACGCATTTTGTACTTCAAGATTTGCATTTGCATATGCTCGTAGAGGAAAGAGAAGTTTACGACATCCTCTCCCAAAATAATGAATTGTTTGTTTGAGAAGTCTCCATTCTCTGTTGAGGAAGACAATTATTGTCCGCCGCTTTGACAAAAAGATTTTTGCACAAAGTGACCTGGCCAGCCTCGTGGCTGGCCATATGGTGCACTATGTGTATCATCTATGTTTTTGCTAAGCGGACCATAATCGAGCTTCCTAAGAGCGTTATGATTACAACCGCTTCTTTGCACTACAATCTACAATACTAATCCTACACACACGTACCCATGTATGGGTCATTATTTCTCAACTTTATCGCCCCCTACCTAAAATTCTATCGCACTTAAAAATTCGTGCCACGGCACAAAAATTTACCTATACATCTCTAGTTTTTTTTGCAGTGTGATTTTTTTGAAAATCTAATGTGACGGCTTCAATTTGGCAGCTCAAACAAAAAGATTTCTCAAAAATGTTTCATTTTTTATCGATAACTCACTTCATTTTTATGCTATAATTTTTTTGAGGCCAGAAATGAATTCAGCGTCAAATTTTATATGAAATATGGCATTACGCTTGAAATAGATTTTTTTTAAGATTGAATCCAAGTTAAAAATATTTTTTCTCTATTTTTGAAAGTATTGTTAGTTCCCGTAGCATGCACTATCATCTTTGTGCAAAAGCATTTCTATACGTAAGTACACTGTTATCACCCAATTCCATTTAACATGTTATTCTACTCTTATTATAAATTTATATCTTTGTTCAAAAAAAAAATTATAAAAAAAATTGAAATAGAGTTTTACTTTTATATTATCATATCTAGCATCTCAAGTAGCATTTTGTTCAAATAAATAAATTTAGTTACCGGTAGCAAATTGTATTAATTCGCATATTTTATCATAAAATTTATGTTAAAATGAACGCAATGTTACGTCTAAAATAATTAATTTGTCATTGAAAATTTGACCTTGAAAAAGTTTGTCCTTCAGTATAATACCATGTTTTTATGTAAAATTTCATGCTGAATTCATTTTTGCTCTCAAAAAAATTATAGCACAAAAATTGAGCAAGTTATCGATAAAAAATAAAACATATTTTGAAATCTTTTTGTTTAACAAGCCATGTTGGAACTATCATATTAGATTTTCAAAAAAGCCAGACTGCAAAGGAAACTAGAGATGAATAGATACATTTTTTGCCCTCGCGTGAATTTTTAAGT